GATCGTGTGATGTGGTCTGGATGAAAGCTGGAGGCATGTAGGTAAGTATAGCTGTTAATTTTGCAAATGGTGCCAGGGGATCTCCAATGCCCAAACAGAGCAGATAGGACCTAATTTTGTAAGGTCTCTGAAAGACACAGACACGTGCAGTAAATTGTGTAGAAACAGATGTGACTGCCTCGGGAGGGATAAAGGGCTGAGTCAAAGCAGCAGGGATTTGAAGCTGTGGTTGCAGCCAGGTAGGTTAGGTACCAGTACGGTATTTCCACCTTAAGGCTGAGACTATTAAAAGCATCCCCTTTACATACCGCCCATATCAGAGCATGCCACATAGATTGCAATATGTTACTGTAGTTCACAGAGCTGGAGTCTGATCTCCATTACGCTGGTGGGAATCGGGACTAATTCTACTAAAGTCAATTGCATCAATGTAAAATCAGGGTCACCGAGACCAGAATCGGGGCCCTAATGCACAATTGGATTGTTTCCCCTCATTTGAAGCAGCTGAAGAATTCATCATATCAGTAGGGCTCTGGCCCTGATCCAGCAAATATGTCCGTACACACTTAAGTAGGTGAGCAGGTCAGTTAACTTCAGTGGAACAATTTGTGCTTAAAGTTAAGTATGTGCATAACAATTTGGGGTCTACAGCTGCTCTTTTCTTCACTTCCCGTCTTAAACTGCTGTGTGGTGAACTGCAGTGGCAGATGCTGTATGTAGCTTTGGGATCCTCCAGGAGCAACTTTAATAAGCTTGTTATTCTTTTGTTACATTGCCTTTGTTTCACAAATGCCAGTGAGTTAAACATTATGATGAAAATACATTTCTTTTCCTGTATTAATAACAACAGCTCAGAGTATTAAAACTGAACATTAAACAATTTACTTTGCACTGCTTGCTGTTTATTTCCTTTTCTCTTGGCTTGGGCAGTGAAAACAGATTAGTCCGTTTCACTTGGGTCTGTGGTCAGTTTTCACTTTCAGGCTCTCAGGCTATGAGGCTGCCTTTGGGAACCTCTAGAGCTGTGGTTTATAACCTGTGGTCTGTGGACCCCTTGGACCCCCAGTCTATGTCTAAGCCACCTGTCTTGGATGGTTTAGGGCACGTCTACACTTGCAAAGTTACAGCGCTGCTCAGAGAGCGCCGAAGGAAAACCACTGTTGTGTGTTCACGCTGAGAGCTGCCTGTGCAATAGCATGATCACACTTGTGGCACTCACGGCGATATTCGGAGCAGTGCACTCTGGGCAGCTATCTCACAGAGCACCTCTTTCTCTTTTGCCGCTAAGACTTGTGGGAAGGCGGAAGGGGTCGTGGGGCATCCTGGGTCCTGTCCCAATACCCCGTGATGCATTGCTTCGCATCCCAGCAGTCCCTGTGCTTCCGTCCGCATTTGGTGCCATCTTTCAACGGTTTGTGTACAGCGCACCCTGCCCTGCCTCTTTCTGGCTGCAGGAATGGATCCCGAACTGCTGACCAGAATGCTGCTCACACTGACCAACACGTCACGAGTGGCAGTGGATTTATTCCTTAAGCTACAAAGGCAAGAGGAGTTCGACATTGATCTCGCCACACATAGTAGCTACGACATGAGATGGCTTGTGGCATTCACGGAGGTGCTGACCATAGTGGAACACCGCTTTTGGGCTCAGGAAGCAAACATTGAGTGGTGGGATCACATCGTCATGCACGTCTGGGATGACGAGCACTGGCTGCGGAACTCTCGGATGAGGAAAGCCACATTCATGGGACTGTGTGATGAGCTTGCCCCAGCCCTGCGACGCAAGGACATGAAAATGAGAGCTGCCCTGTCACTGGAGAAGTGTGTGGCGATTGCACTGTGGAAGCTGGCTACTCCAGACTGCTACCGATCGGTCACTAAGCAGTTTGGAGTGGGAAAGTCGACCGTTGGAGTCGTGTTGATGGAAGTGTGCAGGGCCATTAATTGCATCCTGCTCTGAAAGACCGTGACTCTGGGCAACGTGCATGACATTGTGGCTGGCTTTGCACAAATGGGCTTCCCTAACTGCGGAGGAGCGATAGATGGCGCACACATTCCAATTCTGGCACCAGCCCACCTAGCCATCGAGTACATTAATCAGAAGGGGTATTTCTCAATGGTTCTCCAGTCTCTTGTGAATCACCGTGGGTGTTTCACAGACATTAACACAGGCTGGTCCGGAAAGGTGCATGATGCACGCATCTTTTGGAACACTGGCCTGTTCAAGAAGCTGCAAACCAGGACTTTCTTCCCAGACCAGAAGATCACCGTAGGGGAAGTTGAAATGCCCATTGTGATCCTGGGAGGCCCTGTCTACCCCTTAATGCCGTGGCCCATGAAGCCATACATGGGGCAACTTGACAGCAGCAAGAAGCGGCTCAACAACAGGCTGAGGAAGTGCAGAATGACTGTGGAGTGTGCATTTGGCCGTTTAAAAGCCCACTGGTGATGCCTGTATGGGAAGCTGGACCTGGCCGATGACAATATTCCTGTGCTTATAGCCGCATGCTGTACGCTCCATAATATATGTGAAGGGAAGGGTGAAAGCTTCACTCAGGGCTGGACCGCAGAGGCTCAGTGCCAGGTGGCTTAGTTTGCACAGTCAGAGACCAGGGCTATTAGAGGGGCGCAGCGCGGGGCCGTAAGGATCAAGGATGCCTTGAGGCAGCAATTTGAAGCTGAAAGCCACTAATATTTGTTGCTATGCTCGGGATTGCAGTGCTTGTAATGCTAGGAGGTGACTGGTGCACATGATGCAAGAAGGGGCCTTAACATAGTTATATGTTGCTTTGCAGTGCTCTTTTTGCTTTCACTTAATAGAATAAAGACTGATTTCAAACAAACAATTCTTTTATTGAAAGACAACAACCAGAGGAAAGAGTCAAATGAAAAAAAGTCCTCAGCAGGGAGGGGGATGGCGGAATGGAAGGTCTCAAGAGGAGGAGGAGGGGTCCTGGGACGGTTACAGATTTGTGTATGTCCAGGGATCATCCCCAATCTTCTCCTTTGCTGTACTTCAGCAGGGCCAAACTGCAGAGGGATGGGTGTTGAGTGCAGTGGGTAGTGGGAGTCCCCACTGCTGGACCGTGAGGAGGGAGGAGTGGAATGCTGCAGGTAGAGAATGGAGCCAGGAGGTTGATAAGAGTGTGTTGGCGGTGTGTGTGTGTGTGGCGCATGGGAAAGAATTTTACAACAGCGGCTGCAGGGGAGACAGGCGTGGAGCTGCTCGGTTTGAAGAGCTAGTATTGCCTGGAGTGTGTCCGCTTGGCGCTCCATAACTGTTAAGAGCCACTCCATGGCTTCTTTCTGATGTGCCGCGTTCTCCTTTTGTTCCCTCTTTTTGCTGTCCCGCCACTCCTTTGATTCCTGTTTCTCGGCGGCGGAGTGCATCATAACCTCACGCAGAAAGTCCTCCTTAGTTCTTCGTGGCCACTTTCTAATTCTTCACAACCGTTCTGCTGCCGATAACAAAGAGGGAGGCTGGGCTCCCAAGGTCATCTCTGTGAAGTTTAAATGCAACATTTTACAGAAGCAGTATTGTTTGCAACATAGAGAACACTGATTGAGTGATTTAATACACAGCCAGTACTCTCACACCTGTCACTAACTGGCAGACCCCAGGAAAGCACACGTGAGCCACAAGACCCCCAAAATGGTGAGTAGCCACAGGGGCAGGGTAAATCACTGTTCCCGGACCCTGCTGTACACTGGGCACGTGGCTCTTGGGGACAGCCAGCACTGTGCGGGGGCCTGATAATCATTCCTGTCCCCGCACTTCCCACAGGATGTGATCATTATGGAAGATACCTCACTGCTGAGGGTGAGCAGGGAATCAAGGGAGGGTCTTCTCCAAGCCTGCAGCTTCTGCCCTGGCCCCTATGCGGCTCGCCTGTGTGCAGCAATGGTCCCCCCACTGTGACGGCACAGTGGTGCGGGAAAGTTACCCTTAATGGGTCAAGAAACGAAGCAGCTCTGCGGAGGAACCTGCGGCAGCGGATTGCCCAGTATTTCCAGGCGAGTTTCCTGGAGATCTCTGAGGGAGATTCCCGTGACGTGAGGGAGTGTATCAACAGCCTGTTCCACTGCTCAGGCTAGGCATGAGGTGGGAGACAAGCCTGATTTCTGCAACCCTCCTGCCCCCAACAACGCGCTTCAGCAATTCCCAAAATCAGATCCACTTACCAGGGGCCTGCTCTCCTGTTTGCACTTCGCCAAGATCCGACTGCTGTGACTGGGTAGGCTCCTCCGGGGTAGAAAAGAGCTCCTGACCGCATGCGTCTCTGGCCTCTCAGTCATCCTCTGACTCTGGGTTCCCCTCCCCCTCTTCGTCCAAGATTGCCTTCTCCTGGCTCGGTCCACTCTCGACTGGCACACGAGCCAACGAAGTATCCACAGGGGCCTTTGCAGTGGAAGTAGGGTCACCACCGAGTATTGCGTCCAGCTCTTTGTAAAACCGGCAACTCGTGGGCGCAGCACCGGAGCGGCAATTTACCTCCCGCGCCTTGTGGTAGGTGTTCCGCAGCTGCTTCACTTTGACCCTGCACTGCAGTGTGTCCCGGTCATGGCCCCTTTCTGTCATGAATCGTCAAATCTGTCCAGAGGTATCATAATTCCTATGGCTGGAGCACAGTGGGGACTGGACAGCCTCCTCTCCCCAAATGCCGATGAGGTCCAGCAGCTCGGCATTGCTCCAAGCGGGGGATCGCCTGGTGCATGGAACAGGGAAGGCCACTTGGAAAGATAGGCTGAGACCACTGCATGCATCACCTAGCAAACAGGAAGGGGACTTTCAAATTTGCAAAGGAATGTACGGGGTGGGGCTGCTGGTTGGCCACCTGAGGGCAGGGCAGTAGCGTTCAAACCGATGGCCAGAGAGGCGAGAACAGGCATTGTGGGACACGTCCCAGAGGCCAATGGCAACGCTGTAATCACCACGGTGTCTACACTGGCACTCCAGCGCAGTAGCCCCAGCACAGAAAGCTCTACGCCTCTCGTCGGGGTGGGTTTTTAGAGCGCTGCATCTGCGCAGTTTCCGCACACTAAGTGGCTGGGCAGTGTGTAACCTCAGGAGTTACAGCGCTCAAAGATGCTTTACTGCGCACAAACTTGCCAGCGTAGCTGGGGCCTTAGACACAACAAATCCTGCCTCTTGGCAGGGGGTTAGACTAGATGATCCTTGCGGTACCTTCTAATGCTATGATTCTGTGATTCTAAGATTTCCAAAGGGGTACGCATGCCCATTCAAACGTTTTTAGGGGTCCACAAATGAAATGAGGTTGAAAACCACTGGTGAATGGGGGGGGAAGGGGGTTAAGTGCTCCCCCAGATTGGCCTGCCGGGGGTGGGGAGGAAGAGGGGTTCTACCTTCTCTCCCTGCGCCCCCCCCCCCAGTACCTCTGACTAAATTGGCTGCTCTCCCTGGACGCTGGGCGGGGAGGGAGCAGGACAGAGTCTCATCTGCCTGAGAGAGGTTGGCTGGGAGGCAGGGCGGCCTGCTCCCTGCCTGGGCTCAGCGGCCGCGGGAGGGGAGACAAGGCCTCTGTCTCTCTCAGGCAGAGCGGCTCTGTCCCGCTCCCTGCCCAGCTGCCAGGGAGAGTGGGTCGAATTTGCTTGGGGGAGGGAGGAGGCACAGGGGGAGAAGGACAGAACCCGCAGGTAACGTGGGGCGGCAGTCCCGGGCTTGGCGGGGTGTGCATGTGTCACTCCGCGTCTGCCTGAGAGCCTGAGCGAGCCAGAGTCTCCTCTCCCCACCCCCAGCATGTTTCTGGCTCGCTCAGCCCGTCCCTGGCAGCTGCCTGGGGCGGCAGTAGGCTGCCCTCTCGCCCGGGCCCTGCTGCAGCGACAGCGGCTGAGTGAGCTGGAGTCCCCTCTCCCCCTGCAGCCGAGCCCAGGCAGGGAGCAGGCCGCCACTGCCTCCCAGCCAGGCTCTCTCAGGCAGATGGAGCTCGGTCCTCCTCCCCGCCCGGCTGCCCCGAAGAGCAGCCAATTTAGCCAAAGGTAGGGGATAGGCAGGCGCAGGGAGAGAAGGTAGAGCCCCTCTCCCTCCCCGCCACCGGCAGGCCAATCTGGGGGAGACTTGACCCCCCCATTTCGTCCCCACGCATCGCCACAGAAGGGCCCACAGTTGGGATACGGTTGCCAACTTTCTAATCGCACAAAACCGAACACCCCTGCCTCGCCCTTTCCCCAAGGCCCCATCCCCTGCTCGCTCCACCCCCCCTCCATGGCTCGCTCTCCCACACCCTCACTCATGTTCACTGGGCTGAGGCAGGGGGTTGGGGTGCAGGAGGGGGGTGAGGGCTCTGGCTGGGGGTGTGGGCTCCAGGGTGGGGCCCGGGATGAGGGGTTTGGAGTGCAGGAGGGAGCTCAGGGCTGGGGGTTCAGGGTGCGGAGGCCCAGCGGCACTTACCACAGCGCCGAGGAAGCGGTCACCAGGTCCCTGCAGCCCCTAGGCACATGGGTGGCCAGGGAGACTCCACGCGCTGCCCTCGCGCCCGCAGGCTCCACCTCTGCAGCTCCCATTGGGCACAGTTCCTGGCCAATGGGAGCTGCGGGGCTGGCACTCAGGGAGGGGGCAGCGTGCGGCGCTTCCCTGGCTGCCCACGCGCCTAGGGGCTGCAGGGACCTGGCGGCCACTTCTGGGAGCCACACGGAGCCAGGGCAGGCAGGGAACCTGCCTTAGCTCTGGGCCCCCGCTGTGCCGCTGATCGGACTTTTAACAGCCCACTCGGCGGTGCTGACAGGAGTCGCCAGGGTCCCTTTTCGACTGGGTGTTTGAAAACCGGACTCTTGGCAACCCTAGCTGGGGGTAGGACTGGGGCCAGGTGCGGAACCGTGGTCAGGGGCCCAGACTTGGAGCAGGGCTGGGTGGAGCTCCCTCCCTGCCCCACTCCCGCTAATGTTCCTCCAGGCCCCCATGGGGGGGCAGTTCGCCTCACGGTTTGGGGACCTTTGCACTACCCCATTAACCTTAACTCTGAAACTGGCTGCTCTGGCAGTATGCACAGGGGGTACGCTATGTGGAGTATGCCTAGAGCCCTGGATCGTCTACCTTGGGTTTGATCCAGCAGTGCTCACAGGCCCCGATCCGGATCAGGGATTGTTGGGGTGAGTGGTTCAGACAGAGTAACAGAGAAGTCCTGCCCCACAGAGCTCGCAGGCTACTTCTTATTGGTTATTTGTTTGTAATAAAACTGTTTCTATGAGGATTACAGATGAAAAATCAGGACGTATTTCTACAGACCATAGGTTTGGCCAACAGTTTACAGACGTGCCGAGGGCACAGAAATCACCCAGACGAGCTCAGAACTACCAGCTCCCGCAATATCACTGTGAGGGTCGGAATATTTTAAGTTTCTCATGACCCCCTGATTTCCTCCGTCAAACTCCATGAATTATGCATTTAGTCAAAGTGGCCAGTTCCCTTTACTTTCAGTAGGCCCAAAGCCACAGCCTGCCCTCAGTTAAGATGGCTGCCATTTCCCTGTTCCAGTTGCAGGGAACTTCCATCATTTCCAATGGGACTGAAGCCAGGCTGCCCTTAGGGAAGATGGCCATCCTCTGCCCTCCATGGTTAGGGAGCTGGGCAGGAAAATGTAGGGGGAGGTGATGACAGGAGATTGCTGAAGGCAGAAGGGAATGTGAGGGTGCAGGAGGGACACAAACATACAGGGATGCAGTGGGATATGAGGGTGCAGGGGGATATGGGGGTGAAGGGGGGAATGTGAGGGTGCAGGGGGGATATGGGGTTGAAGGGGGGAATGTGAGGGTGCAGGGGGGATATGGGGTTGAAGGGGGGAATGTGAGGGTGCAGAGGGAATGTGAGTACAGAGTGGGATATGGGGGTGCAGTGGGATATGAAGGTGCAGAGAGGGCGGGTAAAGGAGACTGGGGTGTTGGAGCAGGGCTAAGGGAGGGGTTGGGGAGGGATGGAGTGACAGTCCCCCCATGATAAGAGCGACCCCCCGCAGCTGGCAGGGAGACCCACGTTGTTTTCTGCGTACGTTTAAAGCTGAATTTCCTCTTTCGGCGTTACCAGCTCCAGTGACTTGCCCGGGATATTGGGGGCCCCTGGGACATCTCCAGCTCCTGGAGTCCTGGGATCAGCTGGCCGAGCCCAGGCGGGTGGCCCCCCAGTCCCAGGGAGTGGAGAGCCCAGCTGCTCTCTGTACCAGGCGTGGCTGGCCGGGGCTCAGGACCCCCCCGACCTCAGTCCCCGCCAGTCTCACGGTCCGGGCAGGCTCAAGCCTGCTCCGCACACAGGCCACGTGCGGCCGCCCGGCTCCTCCACTGCAGCGGCGGGGGGGAGGGAGGCGGGGAGCTGGGCCGCCCCCCCGCAGCCGGTGTCCCGGGGGTCAGGGCCGCCTCCTGCAAAGCGCTGCTGGGAAGAGGCGGCTCCCCCCGCACGAGTCGGGAGTGGTACGATCCGCCCGGGCGGGCCCGTCGCGCGGTGGGGGCGGGGCCGTGGAGCGATGGCTGCGCCCTGAGCCGGCGGGTGAGTGCGGGGTCGGGCCCGGCGGTGCCCTGCGGGGACCTGAGCCTGCCCGGCGCCCCCGTCCCGCGCCGCTGCGGGGCCGGCTCCACCCCAGAGGCGGCTGCATGCCGGGGCCGGGAGCGGGGAGGAGCGAGGCGCCCATCGGTGCATTTAGCTCCGGAGGTGGCTGGTTCGGTCCCCGCACCGTGGGGCAGCCGGGACGGGGGCTGGGCCGCGCTAGTGTCCGGCGTTGGGACCTGTGAGCGGCAGGGCCAGGCTGAGCCCCCCCCCCGCCCCGTTTGACCCGCTTGATTGCCAGTGAACGCCAGGAGCTTCCCACGTGTGCGCTTGGCCCGAGCTATCGGTGTTTCGTGTTTGTGCGTGAGCTGGTTCCTGGCCCTGCTGGGAACATGGGGGGGGAAACAGGTTCCTGCCTGGACCCAGCATGTGGCCCCATCCCCGGGGGATGCGATGCCGGGCAGGAGCTCCCCAACTTCTGCAAGGGGCAGTAAGGGCTGGGCTACAGCTGTAAGCCCTTGGGCAGCGAACCTCCTTCCCCACAGAGGCGTTGTCCCCTTCCTGGGGTGGGAAAAGCGAGGAGAGGGCACGGACTGTTTGCTAGTGAACATTGGGGGGCTTTCATTGGGCTCCTGCTGCTAACCGAATCCCAAAGCAGGCCACGGTGACAGCCCAGCCTGCATCTTGGCTTACCCACCACCTGGGAATTGAGCCAGTGACCCCCTGAGTAAAGGCATCAGCTCCCTAGCTGGGCTACAAGGGGCTCAGCTCTTTGCCCTGGGGAGGGCGCTAATAAGGCGGGTGGGAGGCTGAGCGGTTGTAAAGCGCTTTGAGATGCTTGGGTGAAAGGTGCCGTAGGGGGCAAGGCGGCATTCACAGATACAGAGAGCATCTTTCCTCTCCAGGGGCTTCCCACGCAGGCCCTCGGACTGCTCGGTCCAGGCCAGCACTAATGGCTACGTGTGCGCTTCCCTTTTCAGTCGTGTTTAACACACTCGCTAGCAGGATTGTAAATTCGAGTGTGGACACTCAGGGCCAGGCTCTCTAAAGGGCTCCACGTGCTGGGGGCCTAAATGGGAGGTGAAAATCGAGCTCCAGAGATGGACAGGGAGCGCTAGAATAACGCCCTGACTTCTTTGGAAATTCTGGCCCCCTGTCGCCAGCAGAGGCCACGTTTTTAAAAATGGGTCGTTGGTAGGGAAGACGAGGCCCAAGAGTCCGTGTAATCCTGAGCCCTTGTGGTTGTGGCTGGAGCAGTGCTGAGCCGTGCCTGGTGCTCTGCCTGGGTATGAAAAAAATCTCTCTCACCCGAGCTGTGTAATAAGTTCCCCTTCTGATTTCCCTGCATGCCTCCCCATGAACCAAACTGTGACTCTCGCATGTGGAGATGAAGACCACAGCTACCTTGTATTTATACTTGCTGCGGGTCTACACCTTTGCTTTCTACCTTAGCTCCCAGACTGGCACCTGCTGTCAGGTGTCTCCAAACGGCCTAGGTCTGCTCTTGAATTTGTGGTTGGGCTTTAACACATGTTAACTAACGTGACTGTAAATTGCAGAGGATACTACAGAAAGGCCCCCGGACACAAACTAGGGTTAAACATGACTAGCAACAAGCGGTTGTGTCCTGTCCACACCAGAATTTTCAATCCTGTTAGTGAGTGTGTTAAAACGTGACTGTGGAGTTGGAGCTACCTCGGAGTATCGGAGACCTGACCTCTCTTTCTCATGCCCAGGTTCTTGCGGTGCCTGGTTTGTGGGAGCTGCTGGCTTTAGAGTAAGAGAAGCTGCCTCTAGCTGGAGACCCCCAGCTCTCTCCACCCAGGCGCCATGGTGACTGAGGAGGAAGTCGAGGCCATCGGCCGGACGCTGGTGGACACAATGCAGCCCCTGAAGGCTCGTTTCCGAGCCCTCTTCACCCTGCGCAACGTGGGCGGCCATGCCGCCATCGACTGGATCAGCCAGGCGTTCGGGGATGAGTCTGCCCTTCTGAAACACGAGCTGGCGTACTGCCTGGGGCAGATGCAGGATGAGCGTGCCATCCCCTGCCTGGTCCGGGTACTGCAGGACACCAGCCAGGAGCCCATGGTGCGCCATGAAGCAGGTACGAGAGCTCAGTGCTTGAGCAGGGGTCTGTCCTGGTCCCTCTGGCACAGAGGCCCTTGCTAGTCCAGCCTGTGCCAGGGGCTGACGTAGCCGGGCAGGGCAGGGATGGATGGATTGTAGCTTGTTCCTGGGGGGCAGGCACATGTGCCAACCTTTTCCTGGTGTGTCTTATTTCCAGCTCTGTGCTGGCTGGCACCTCAGGGGGCAGAGCCAGTGCTCCACTCCACATTGCTGGCTCCCCCCGAGCAGTGGCTGGCGATGTGAGGAGCAAGGCGGCTCCTAACTCCCCTCTACAGCCCCCCGACGGAGCTCCCGGGCTGCTGGAGCAGACCCCACGTGGTGCTGCGTGTACAGCGAATCCAGGCTCACTGGGGTGTGATGTTGCGGACGTCTCCTCAACGCCAGGCCGAAGCTGCTTCCCGTCCCCGCAAAATGCCAGCTCGTCTCTGCCCCGGTGCCACTTGCTGCGTTTCCCTCCCGCTTTCCGTAGCTCGGCTGTTGCAGCCAGGCGTGTGGCAGGGCTGTGTCCCCCTGGCCCCAGGGGAGGGGCTAGGCCTCATTAAAGGTGACGGCAGCAGTATGGGAGCTTCCAGTTTGTTCACTGGCACTGGTGCCTTCGGTCTGTGTTCCAGGGGAAGCTTTGGGAGCGATCGGGAGCCCCCAGGTGCTGGATGTTCTGAGACGTTATTCGGAAGACCCGGTGATCGAGGTAAAGCTTTCCCTGCGTTCCCCTGCCAGGGGCAGCCATCAGCACTGATCATACCGCCCGGCAGCCTGGGCCAGTGGGCAGAGCTCCGCACTGGGACTGCAGAGATCTGGGCTCTATTCCCAGCCCTGCCACTCACCTGCTGAGCGACTTGGGTAAATCCTTTCCCTGCTCTGTGCCTCAGTTTCCCCTCCCAGGTTGGTCTGTTGAGACGAGACTCTCTTCCTATTTGTCTGGTCAGCGCCTGGCCCAGCAGGAGCCTGATCTCCGCTGGGACCTGCAGGATCTGCTGTAACCCTGGCACTGATGCAGGGGTCCCCAGGTGGCAGTGATTAGGGCAGTCATTGGGGGTATTATGCTGATGGGCGGACACACCTCTTGTCTGTGAGTTTTTTCTCATGCAGATAACAGCCCTAGTCCTGCTGGCAGTGCCACTTTTCCCCATGCTGCCCCCTGTCTGGGGGAGTCAGTCTGTGCAGCCCCATTTGATGCCAGCTGCCATTGGGATTCCTGCTGACCAGGAACTGAACTGGTCCCAGTAAGGGGGTTATTTATACCCCAGAAGGCCCAGTCACCCTGCACAGAAAGTTTCCTGCCCTTGTAAACCTCACTGGACAGCCGGACCCTGAGAAATGGAATGTCAGAGCTGCATGTCTGACTATTGGCCGGTCCATCGCTCCTTTCGGGTGAGGCGTGACAGAACTGGGTACAAGCCCTGTTGGGCCAATGGGGAAACTGAGTCGCAGAGGTGGACATGACTTGGTGGTGTCGCGGTGCGTCGGTGGCAGAGCTGGGCCTGAAGCCAGGAGCTGGGACTCCCAGTCCCATGTTCTGACCACTAGACGCTACTGCCTGGCTTGTGGGACTCTGCTCTCCCTAAGGGATCTCAGTGAAGGTGTCTCTGTCCCGTTCTGCTGCAGGTAGCCGAGACCTGCCAGCTGGCGGTCAAGAGGCTCGAATGGCTGCAGAAGAACAAGGAAGCACCTGGCGCTGGCCCCTACCTGTCTGTGGACCCGGCTCCCCCTGACGAGGAGAAGGACGTCGCCAAGCTGCGGGAGACCCTGCTGGATGAGTCGCGCCCGCTGTTCGATCGGTACCGCGCCATGTTCGCCCTGAGGAACGTGGGGGGCGAGGCCGCGGCGCTGGCACTGGCTGACGGTGAGAGAGCCCTGGATGGCCGATGCTGTGGCTTCTCCTCGCCCTCTCCCCTGGCCCAAGCTGAGTCCAGAGATCCCCAGTGGGGGGCCCCACTGCTGTGCTGTCCCTGGGACCCATCCCTGTCTGAGCAGCTGGGCTCCCTGGCTGAGTTGTATCCCTGCTATTCCCAGCACCCTCCACCAGGGGTCACCCTAGGGCGTGCCTCACCTACCTGGGCACAGGGCACGGTTTCAGCAGCACCCTCCTCCCCAGCCTGGGCCAGGGATGGGACGACATGGCCCCCTGTGTCCCCCCCCCCATGTTTTGTAATCCACTTACCCCTGGGACGTGGCTCCACTGGAGCCTTTGCCCCTTGCATGCCCCGTCCCATGCCTGCTGGGTGCGAGAGCCCACAGCATGTGTTCCCCCATCCCCACCCCCCCGCCCCCTCCAGGAACCCTCCGGGGCGTCATGCCCGAGTTCCGGATCCTCCATGGCAATGGGCTGGCCCTGTGCCGTGGGAATCCAGAGCCGCAGAGCGGGGGGCGGGCAGACAGCAGAGCCTCTGCCCTACTGCCCTCGGCAGGGCCAGGCCCCCACCCCCTCCCCAGGAATCGCCACCAAACTCTGGAATCTCAGCTTCCTGAAAGGGGACCAGCCACTCGTGCTCTGCCCCCTCTGATGGGCATGAGAATTCCCTGGGGCAGGCCAGAGCAGGGGCTCCCAGTGTGTGTGTGGGGACCCCGTGCCCTTCCCGTGTTGGGGCGGTCCTTACTGAAAACCACTGTTCTAGGGGGAGGGTCCCCCCAGCTGAGCGCGGAGCCCCCTGGACCAGCCCCTGTCCTGGAGTGGGAGGGGGGAGGTGCAATTGGAGACGTTCAGAGCGTTTCCATCTGCGCTC